CTTCGGGTACTGCTGCACGTTGCTGCTCAGCGTGACTACGAGCTCCACTCGCTTGACTTCAGCACAGCCTTCCTACAGGGCAGCCTGCACGAGGAGATCTGGCTGCGCCGCCCACCTGGCTTCACTGGGTCGTTTCCTGCTGGTACCCAGTGGAGCCTCCGGCGGCCAGTCTACGGTCTCCGCCAGGCGCCCCGTGAGTGGCACGACACGCTGAGGACGACTCTTGCTGCTCTTGGTTTTGCTCCTTCCACTGCTGACCCTTCTCTGTTTCTACGCACTGACGCTACTCTGCCGCCGTCCTACGTTCTTGTATACGTAGACGACCTTGTCTTTGCTACTGCTGACACGGAGGCACTCGCCCACGTGAAGTCCGAGCTGCAGGAGAGACACACGTGCAAAGACCTGGGTGAGCTGACAAGCTATCTTGGCTTGCGGATCACCCGGGACAGAGCGCAGCGCACCATTACCTTGACTCAGTCACACATGGTGCAGCAGGTCCTTCAGCGCTTCGGCTTCACGTACTCCTCGCCACAGTCCACTCCTCTGCCTACCGGTCACTCGCTCGCAGCTCCACCTTCGGACGAGTCCGTAGAGCCGAGTGGCCCGTATCCAGAGCTTGTGGGCTGCCTCATGTACCTGATGACTTGCACACGACCTGACCTCGCATACCCTCTCAGCCTTCTGGCTCGCTACGTGGCTCCCGGCAGGCACCGAAAGGTGCACTGGGATGCTGCGAAGAGGGTGTTGCGATACTTGTGCAGTACATCGGGCATGGGGCTCGTGCTTGGAGGACGGGCTCGAGTTGTCCTCACTGGTCACGCTGACGCCTCCTGGGTTGACGACTTGGCTACGCAGCGGTCGTCACAGGGTTACACCTTCAGCCTTGGCTCCGGTTCTCTCCTGGCGGTCTACCCGCTCTTCTTCTGTTCTCAGCTCCAGTTGTGAGGCTGAGATCTACGCTGGGGCCATGGCTGCACAGGAGCTTCGCTGGCTCACCTACCTGCTGACTGACTTGGGAGAGGCGCCTCGTTCTCCTCCAGTTCTGTACGTCGACAACAAGGCCATGCTGGCCTTGTGTCAGGAGCATAGACTGGAGCACAGAACGAAGCACATTGCTCTGCGCTACTTCCTTGCTCGAGAGTTGCAGCAGCGTGGCCAGCTTCGTCTTGCTTACGTGGCCTCTCAGGCCAACACTGCTGATGTTTTCACCAAGGCACTTCAGCCTTGTGATCATCAGCGTTTCTGTACTGTGTTAGGCCTTGTACCTACTGTGCTTCACTTGTTGACTTCTTGACTCTGCTTGTACTGTACTCTATATACTTATACCTGCATGCTTACACTTGCTAGGTTGTGTTCACTGTACTGTTTGCTTTCCTTTATATAACTCTGCATGTTAACTGGCCTTATGGCCCTTTGCTTGTGCTCAGACTGTGTGGTGACTTTGTGATCCACCCTGAGCTTGCTTTGCTTTTCTTTACTGGTCTTGTGACCTCTTGTTCTCCCCCACTTTGCCTATGGGGGTGTGTCAAACTTATATCTGCTATAGTCTATTTAGGCTGTAGTGGGGTAGTTCGTAGAGGGTACAACACTTATGTGTTTTCTACTTGTACCCATCTCATTCCTAGTTCATTCATTCTTTCGTCAATTACCTCACAGCGGGTGGAGTGCGTCAGGCAGACGGTGGCGCAGTCGATAGGCAGGCGCAAGGGTGGCGCGACGAGCGTGCGCGGTGCTAGCGACGGTGCAGGCGAGGCCGCGGGCTACGGGGCCGCGGGGCGACGAAACAGCGAGGAGTGACGGGGGGCCGTAGGGCGATGATACGGCTCAGAAAAGTAGGCCGCCATATGAGATGGCGGGATAGGTGGGCCCATTGAGAATTAGGTCCTAAGTAGAACCACACTCTGATAGCATGTCAGAATCCCAACCACTAGACCATTGGGATAACAGGGGTTGTTAAGTAGCGGGTCAGTGCGCCCATAACCCCCTAGGCCAACATGCCTGTAACCCTTCCATAGGATCAATCGGGGATCACCAGTGGACCTCTGACACCCCCCCGCACTGGGATGCCCGAAGTGCAAACACTGGGATTCGAACTCGAGACCTTTACTCTGATACCATGTCAAACGAGTTACTAGCTAAGCTTAGGAGCCATAGCTAGGTTACGAGAGAGGGGAGAGGGAAGGAAGGTCGAGAGGAACATGTCGAGAGAAGTTTGTCAAAGAGGGTTTCAATAATGAACAAGGGTACAAGGATATAGGCAAAAGAGGAAACGATGGTACACCACCTGCAAGATCTTATAACTACACTAGGCTCTACTGTAGGCAGTTATAAATGTATACGAATACATTTCAACAGTCGCTACTACTGCACTCGTAAATATTGTACACCCCAAGGGGCGTCGCATCAGTCAGACCAGTCCGTGTCTGGTCCACCACTAGTCCGCCAAGTGCGTCCGGCGGACCAGAATTCCGGACCAGCCCTACAAATTCTGGCCGCGGATCAGGTTAGGAGGGACCACTCACATGAGACACGTCCTAAATCACTTGTGGCAGTTTAAAAAATGCAGAGGTCGCACAAATGAGGTCGCGTTCTCATGTCAAGCTGTGGTTGGAACGGGCATGCCGAGATTGGTCGTTAAAACGCTCAGACTGGTACAGGCACGAAGGTACATCGATCGTCATCGGCGGATGTGACAAGATCGTTGGGCACCATTTACTGTACATTTGCAATCCATCTCGAAAACGGGTTACCGTGTGAATCGCGAAGCCACAATTGCACTGTAGCATGCCCCGATCGATCTAAGGGACACGTCCTAAGGCAATGTGGGGCGTGTCACCTTAGCCCCGTTCGCCATTACCTTTGTGGTCCGACGAAAAGATGGGGATGGGATCACGATGCCCCCCTGCACTTTCGTGAGGGACTCAAAATCAGGGTTTAGGGACGGGCAGGGTCCTAAAATCCTGTCGAGCCTGACGATCCCCTCCAGGGCTCTCAATTGGTTTTGGGCCACCCTTTCTAATCAGGGTTCTAGGTAGTCCCAACCCTGATGCATAGTGTAAATTTTTTCGTTCCCTGACAAATTCAGGGTAAAAAACTATTAGTCTATTTGGGCAGGGTAACTTTTGTATACATTTTGTATTCTACAAATACAAAACAAAGTGATAGAGTTCAACACTTAGTGGCTCAATTGGTGCAGTTACGTCTTAGATGTAAGGTCGCTTTGTTCGATTTCCGTAGTTGGGAGTATTTTGCAGGGGCTCGAATGTTGTTTCGTCCCGTTACGGAGCGTTCGGTGTTAGTATAGTTGTGATCGTACCTTGTACAGTCAGAGAAATAAATCCTCTACGCTGTTTTTCAAAGGATAAAAAAAAACTTACACTTTCTGGCCTAGGGTAAAAATCCCATTACCATTCCTGAGAAAGTGTAACTGGAAAAAAGTGGTCGCCAGTCAGGGCAATCAGGGTGTTTTACCCTGATAACGAGAGCCCTGATCCCCTCCGAACCTCGGTGGGGGTGGGTGCCTGGCGAACACCCACCTTTTGTGGGTGGGGCGAGGGTTCGCGAATGCGCTGGGCAATTTCCTGCCCTGCCAGCTGAGATCCCCTCCCCTCTCTCGTCTATCCCTCGTGCATACCACCCTGGAAGGTGTTTTGCGATGGCATGGAGAAGAGATTGGCCCGTAGGGTAAATGCCCAACATCTCCAAGATAGGGTCAGATTAATCGAAATTCTGCCTCCCTCCAGAATCTCTCCTCCAATGATAGAAGCTGTATAGTTCTTGTCTTTCTAAACATTTTTTACCCTGGCTTCCTTTCTTATGCTTTTGTTTGGTTGTTGCACAGACTGGAAAAACAAAATCGGCCACTAGGAAAGGCGGGAGGGAGGTGCTCGATCCCCTCGTTCCCCTTCCTTATCCCCTCCCGCAATTTCCATTTTGGGGTGAGCCCCCTGACGTAACTGGCACCTTCCTTTGCACCTTCGTGCTCCCCTCACCCTATCCCCCGCCCCTCACGTCCAAGGGGTCGTGGCGAACGGGGCCCTTGAGAGTCCATCCAAGCCCGGATGGGCTCAAATCCACCAAGTGCCTCTGTTGTTGGGTTTCGAACCCACGGAATGCGCGAGCTAGCGGAAGCGAGCTGCCCGGAGAAAAAAAAAAAACAAACCCCTATCGGGCTGCATGAGGTTCGAAATGCATCAACCCGAACATCCCAGCGCAAATCGGTCGTCGGAACCGATTTGCCAGTGTCGTCAGAGGGGGTCGTCGGAGCCGGGCCCGACGAGGCGGGCAACTGACGCGCGTGCGGGCCCGCCAGCCTGGCCCAGGGCCGGGCCGAGCGCACGACCGCCGCCCCGCAACCCCCCTGCGTGATTGAACAGCGCCCCACGTTACCGGGTGGGGGTGGCGAGCTGGCGAGCCCTCGCGCGAGGGAAAGTAACCCTCGCGCGAAGGCAGCCCTCCCGTGCCCGCTGCCCGCGACGTCCTAGTGACCCTCGCGACCTGCCCGGACGGGCAGGCGAGGGCCATGCGAAATTCGGGTGCTCCCCTCGGGAAGCTCGACGATTCCGCGACCCGTTGCGGTGACGCCGCGTGCTCGCACGCGGGTTCGCATCGGGTGCATGCGAAATTTCGAGCCCGGCGAAATCGGCTCGCTCGCATCGCGGCGCGGGGTCTTCGCGATCCGAGGCGAAGTCGACACGTGTCGGCCGAAACGACGCACCGCGCGCATGCGAAATTGCGTCCCCTCGCCGAGCGAAGCCGGGGGACGCGAAGTCGACGTGCTGGCTCGGCGGCGAAGGAGCGCTTGTGCATGCAGCCCGCCAAATCCTGCCGAGCCAGGCACCACGAACCCTGGGCGATGCCTCAACCGGCCTGTGGGGCACCGACTCCCTTTCCTTGGCGGAAGGAGGCATCGCTCCTCATTTTCGGCATCTCGTTTCACTTTCAATATTACTCCCACATTCTCGTCCCTTCTTAGCCTGCAATCAATTCCCTTCAACGCAATGGAGGCCGACCCGAAAGCCGGCGAAGCGGCGCCGACCGTGCAGGACTTCCCTCTGTATCTCGACCTCGGTAGTGGACTCACTGCCAAGCTCGAGGAACACGACTACGCCGTCCTCGTAGACCATAGGCTAGAGTTCAACGCCCGTTGCTTGGGATTCGGCATCAAGTGAGTCTGCGTATGTGGATGTCGGCGTCGACATCTTCTTACATTGCTGGTCGACGCAGCGTCGGTGTTAGGGTTGTCCCACGTCGGAGGCGGCGCTACGAGTTCACGTCGACGCCGACAGTAGGTCGGTGTCGGCACAGGCATTAGGCACGCATCGGTCGGCTCAATTGATTACAACGTCGCGAGGGTGGTGCACCGTCGTACGATTGCCATCCCCGTCGGTCGGCGGTTCCTAAACCAACGTATCCACCGTCGTGTCGTGCACATACTCACTCACTTCTTATTCCCATGCATGCGTGCAGGCACGCATGGACTCGCGCGGCGCCGGCCAGCATGCGATTGTGGTCGATAGGACTCGGCCGGCTTCGGGCGGCGATGGGTCGGGCGGACCACACATGCTTTGCGACGGTTTTCGACGCCGACGTAGCGGTTATCCCCTTGACTTCGAGGTGAGCTGGTTAGAAGTCGTCACGATGTGTGTTGCATCCTATGTCGGTGCTCTGTTCTGAACGACGTCGTCGTGCCTTGCCTGTGCAGCATCGCACCGCTTCCAGGAGCACATTGCAGCATCGTTGTCATCCTGTACCCCGGCGACCTGTTGAAGGGTGGGGGGGAGAAGATCAGGACCTCGATCCGGCACTTTGAGCCGCAGACCGTGAAGCAGTGGCACCGCGACGAGGCAATCCGCATGCTGAAGTGAGCTCGATAGTGTAGTCGACGACGCATGCAATTTCGCCGCGCAGCGTAAACCATGCTTACCGACAATCTGTGCCATGTTGCTTCAGGTTTTTCCGGGCGGCGGTCCTGGCCGAGCTTGGGTGCGATGGTAGGAAGTGGGAGTGGGCGAAGCCTTCCGATGAAGAGGTGGAGGACAGGCTCGCCGACTGCGATCAACCCGTTCGAGATGTGAGTTCCGAACGAATCACCGTCCTATAGTGTGTCATCCTTGCGCGATGCGATTGCCGAACGCGGTGCTCATCATTGCGCTCTGAACTGTTGTATGCAGAAATTGCCCGACGCCGTCCGGGACGGGGACGCGGGCTCCGGCCTGCTAGCAATGAGCGCGTTGTGCTGGGTGGTGAGGAGGATGGATCTCCTGACCGGCGCCCTCCGTCGCAGTGTGACCAGCATGGACAAGGTCAACGTTTCGGGGTTGAAGGGGCTGCGGAATGGGATGATAACATTCGTCAAGGAGCACGTCGCTCTCAAACGGTCGGACCATGTCGGAGTTGCTGCCGACGCCTGTGACGACGACGGCGAGGAGGCCCCTTTGGCATCCACAGCAATAGGTGTCGCCTACACCGTCGATGATGCGCGTGGGACTTCTATCGGAGAGCCCGGAGGCGGCGTCGACAAGGAAGATGAGGAGGCGGGAAGGGCGGTGACTGGGACCGCGGAGAAGAACCAGGAGGATAACGAGGATCAGGAAGAGGACCATAAGGATCGTGAGGAGGAGGAGGAGGAGGAGGAGGAGGAGGAGGAGGAGGAGGAGGAGGAGGAGGAGGAGGAGGAGGAGGAGGAGGAGGAGGCGGAGGAGGCGGAGGAGGCGGAGAAGCAGCAAGAGGGGGAGCAGGAGGAAGAGGTCGAGTGGGAGTTGGAGGAAATGGATGTGGAGTACGTAGAGGGAGCGGCGGAAACGGCTGGGAGGTCGGCAGATGTTGTGAACAAGGGAGGGGAGGATGCCGACGAGGAGAAAGTCGGCGTGGAGGAGGCTCACGGGGGGGGTGAGAAGGTCGTGGTCGGCGATGTGGATGGCGACGCGAAGGAAGTTATCGACCTCGAGGTCGTTGGAGAAGGGGATAATGCCGCGGCCACGAAGCAGACGGGCGTGGAAGCGCCTACCGAGACCACCGCAGGGAAGGCCGGGGGGGAGCGGTCTAGGGTGAAGAAGGCGGCGCGCGGTCATCCCGGTTCCTCCGCATCTGGTCGGCAGGCACCGCTGGACGTCATCGAGCAGCTGCGACAGGAGAACAGGCGATTGACGGCAGAAAATGCCCGTATGGAGAAGGCGCTCGAAGATGAAAGGGGTCGGGTGGACAGGTTTGTGTTGGGGATGCGGCGACCAGGTCGCCGTCTCCGACCATAATGCGGCGAAACGGCTGCTAGATGCGACGCCGGCCGTGTCGACAACCATCACGGACAACATCACCAACCACATGGACGAATCGTGGAAGGCGATGAAGTCCTTCGCCGAAAAGGCGTCGACGTGGTTGGCGGAAATCGACCGTCCGGAGGGAAGTATGGCAGTTGAACGCGCAAAAGCGGTCGCCGCCTTGGGCAACCACGTGGAAGCGGTGGTGGACGATGCGAAGCTGGGTTTGGAGGACTTCATCTCGAAGCACCTAGCCGCCGCGCAGGCCAACATTGCCGCCGCGGTAACTCGCACCATCGCCGTGCCGCCGCCGCCCCCGCCGCAGCCCACGCCAGCCTTCCCGAACGAGCTCATGAAGTCGTTCAAGGCGGACGTGTTGAAGGCGGTGACGGAGGCCACCCAGCAGTCGTTTGTTGCGTCCGGGTTAAAGCTCATGACCGAGGTGATCGGCAATGTGGCGGCTGGTCGGCGTGCGTCGTCGCCGTCGGCCAATGACGCCGATCCCGCGCAACGAAGGGAGGCCGACAAGCAGGGCCGGAAAAGGGCGGGCGGCGGAGATGATGCAGGGAGCGTGAAGCGGAGCAAGGGAGCCGATGGAGGCCGCGGCGTCGGCGCGGTGGGTCCAGGCGGCTCGCGGACTCGAGGTCAGAGCGTGGTCGACCAGCTCAAGAAGAACGGGGCCAAGGTGATAAGGTCGCACAGCAAGGGCGATGGAATCGGGAGTGCAGATGGGGGCCGTGCCGACGAGGTTGCCGCACAAGACGGCGGGAAAGGCTTGAGCGACAAGGAGATCCCAACCGCTCAAACGGCGATAGATGGCGGTGCCAGAACCGTCAAGGGACCGTCTGTCGGGGTCGCAGGGACCACGTCGATTCCCCGAAAACCCCCTGCGGCTAGCAGCGCGCCGGTCGGCCCGTCAGCCGCCAACAACGATGGGCCGGCCCTTGTGGCTACTCCAGCTGCAGTGGGCCCCTCTGCCGCCAAGGGCGACGCGAAGGATGCTGCGGCTAACCGCGACGGTCCGTCCGCCTCTAAGGTGCTCGCAGCGGCGAACGCGCTCAGGGAAATGCTCCACCGCATGGAGGCCCATCGCAAGGACGTGCAGCAGCCTCCCTTGGTCGATGCCGCCCCCGCCGAAGCAGCACGTCGCACGGTCACTCCGCAGGTCGCCGCCACGACGCCCAGTGCCCCACATACCGCGCTTCTGGTCGCCGCCCATCCAACTGCGGACCCAAAGTCCGCATTGCTTCGCGCTCGGTTAGGCGCACGTAGTGCGGCAGCGCCAGCACAGACTTGGCCGGAAGCCGGCTCAAGCGCGACGCCGACGTCGGTAAACGAGGCGGCGGAGAAGGGCGTAAGGGCAGCGCTAGCCACCGGCGGCGGAGCCGTTGACCATGCACAGGCGTCGATAGGCCACAACGACGCCGACATCGCTGCCATCCAGAACCTGTTGGAATCGGTAAAACGCCCCGGGCACCCCGCTGCTCTGGCCATCTCGGACACGGCGCATGTGGAGCCCTTGGCGAATCCCCCCGCTGGTTCAGCGGAGCCAAATACGACCACTGATACTGTCGGCGATGGAGAGTCGAAACGGAAGGGGAAGGCCGACACAGTGAAAGGGAGGGCGAGCTCTCAGAGGAAAACACGGGCGATGTCGGCCGAGACAGGGAGGGATAAGGCGAAGGAGAAGTCGGTGGAGAAAGGGAAGGAGAAGGAGGAGAAGGAGAAGGCGGCGGAGAAGGAGAAGGAGAAGGCGGGGAGAAGGAGAAGGAGAAGGAGAAGGAGAAGGAGAAGGAGAAGGAGGAGAAGGAGAAGGAGAAGGAGAAAGGACGGAAGGGTCATGGCATCCGCCACGACAACTCGGGCGACGGTCTTGGGTGGGTGGGCGAAATTAAGGTGCTCAGCGCTAATCGATACATCGGCAAATCGCGCGAGAAGATGGAGCTGGCGTACTTGCACTCGATTGCGTACATCGTCTACGACGGCTACATCAGCAAGGTCCTCATGGCCGAGCTCACCGGCTTGGAGGAAACCGAGTTGGAGAAGTGGAGGATGGTGTGGGAGGAGGTCAAGATTTTGCCGACAGGGATGTGGACGGTGATATGGGCACGGGGCGCGTACCTTCCAAAAACACGGTAAGTCGGATACCCTTTCGGCCGAGTGTTGATGACGATGTCGGAGTCACTAATGGTCGCTCGGTTTCATGTGATTGTGTGACAGGTTCGATGACATTCTCGGCCAGTATCGAGCGTACAAGAGCTCAGGCGATGCGCACCACGACGCGCTCTTGCCGGCGATCTGGCTCCCCGTCGATGCCGTCACAAAGGAAGGCCAGGAGAAGTCGGATGCTATGATGTCGGCCATGATAGGTCGCGTGTCCATGTGCGCTGCGTATGGGAAGGTCGCTGCGAGCACGGCGAGGAAGGAGGGAGACACTGATGAGAAGACGGCGATGGCGGCACAAGCGTTATCGGCCTCCGCTTGCGCCGTGTGGTGCTTAGTCGAGAACGACGACGCCCAGGTGGTCGATGCTGTGGGCGAAGGGAAGGCGGCGGCGATGGTGGTCGGTGCGAGCGAGAAGACCGCCGGTGTCTTCAAGGAGGTCATGCAGGTGGTGCTGGAGGCCGAGATCGACCGGGAGCAACCCCTGGGGGAGGTTGCGCACAACGTCGCGCCGGCGCTGCAGAGTCTCGCTCTGCACCGGGTCTACCCAGGGGTGGATCATGAAGTCGAAGCCGACGTGATTGCTAGAGCGACAGTGGAGACATTGGCGTTCTGGGGAATGTGCCCCGTCGCCGGGCCGAAACTCGAAAAGATCGGCATCGCTGTGCCGTGTGACGCGCAGATGGAGTACGACATTGAACACAGGGGGAGGAAGGGTCAGAGAGGCAAGCAGGGCAAGGACAGCACGGGGAAGAAGGGGAAGAAGGGCAAGAAGGGCAAGGACAGCACGGCGGCGTAGTCGGCGCGCGGAGGGAGCGCGAGGTGGTCTGATTGCTAGTGTGTTTGTAACTTTTTTAGTGTTTGTAACTTTTTGTTTGTGTTTGCTTATGTGGTAGCGCATGTAACTTTTTGGTAGTGCATGACATGTAGAACCCTCGTCGGAGATGTCGACCTGATCGCTACCCTCTGAATTGCACACTCAAATGCTACTCTGGGATGAATTTTTGTCGGCGTATATGTCGGAGTCCGAAAATACGTCGGCGTCGTTGGATGTCTGTCGACATAGAGGGTTTGGCTGTCTGCAAGTATTTTCAGGGTGTTTGTTGGTCGGCGACCGACTGCAGTTACCATTGTTGGATCATCTATGTTCGCATGGGCATTGTTGTATGACAATCGTTTACCAACTTCATGAACAAAATAAGCATCATGGTTTGGTGCAATCGACCACAATTACAGCATCATCAAACTACGCGCACGCATATGCTCCAAAGGTACTCATGCCGCCTTCTTGCGCTTCGTCGGAGGACGCAGCACAGGTGCGGTCTGCTTGGCCATGTCCGCCACGGTCTTCGGCATCTGCTCCTCCCAGGTGTCTGGAAACAGGACGGCGACCCAAGCGCTCGGCTTCAAGTTGACCGCCACCAGCGCACAGGCGAGACGTAGCTTCGAGACCGACTTGGGGCCCAGCCCCTTGACGCCCATGCCGGGCTCCTTGGACTTCGTCGGTGCGGTTCCCGGTTTGAGCACCGTGAGGGCATCGCAGAAGGTCCCGATGCCCGGCGCCGCGATCTTGTTCAGGGCAGCGACGACGGCTTCGGTGTCGGCATCGCCGTCGCTCGAGCGAAGAAGGCGCACCGCATCCATGGCCTTCAGCATGCGGCGCACCTTCATGTCGTGTGCACCCTGCGTCGCGCCTTTGAGGAGGGTGTGGCGGTCGACGAATCCCGGCTCGGTGACCCTATCGCAAAGACGGCGGGTGTCATCGGCGGTGGCGGAGTTCCAGAGGCGCCAAGCGTCCCTCACGGTCTTTGACTCCCGCCAAGGTTGCACCACGTTGAGCTCGTAACGAGCCTCGTCGAGCGTCTGTGGGGGTTTCTCGTACCGTTTCTTGTTTCTGGCCCCCGGACTGGCCAAATCCGCGGAGCCACTCTCGCTCGGCGTCTGCTCGTTCCCCGACGGCGGCGTCTCCGGCATCCTCCGTGCTTCTGACACACGGAGTGCCTCGGTGAAACGGGTTATCTCGGCGGTCAGCGTCGCGATGGTATCGTCGCGCTTCTCGAGTTCATCCTGAAGGTCGATCTTCTCGACCGCGGCGCGCTCCCTCTCGTACTTCAGCGTCTCCTTGAGGGACATGTTATGGTATTCGGTGTCCAAGCGAACGGAGATTTCCTGCAGCACAAGGCGGAAAGGCGAAAATTGTTTAGAATACACCCGTAACAGATAGGTTCCCGGCGACGCCGACTTTAGCGACGGTTTACCTCTGCCTGAATGAGGGTTGGGTCACAGCGTTTGTTGATCGTTTCGGTGTCGATCTTCTCGACCCTTTTCGCCCAGTGCTGAAAGAGGGCAATCCGGCAGAGCTTCGAACCTTGGATGTACGGGTGCCAAGGGGTGCGGACGAGCTTCACCGCGAGGTCCTCGGCGACGATGCGGCGCATCATCTGGAGGGTACGCCAGAAGTGCACGGCGGCTTTGTCGGCGTCGCTCCCTTCTTTGGCAGTTCGCGTTTCCGCCTGCACATCGGCACGTGATGTGGGTTAGTAAGGCGATGGGCAGCCAACGAAGCAATGGCGACGTAAGGACATTGTCGGCGTCTATTAACATACATCGCGCAGCAGAGCATCCACGCCGGGGAAGATGTGCTCGGCGATGATGTCCAATAGTTTGTTGGAGGGCTCGACCCTGCTGCGACCCAAGAAGTAGTCTTGCTTGCAACCCGAGTAGCCGGCCTTCTTCATCACCACCCCAACGGGAATGGCTGTGATGTAAGCACGCGTCATCTTGTCGAGTGCCTAGTGACCCAGCTCGGCGATCTCAGCGCGAGGCGTCCCTTCAATGGCTAGCTCCTGCGCACCTCCGGCGCGAGCGGCGTGCACGTTCCGCTTGCAGAACACCTTGTTGGTCGTCCACAACTGCCGCGTCCAACGTTGGTGGCTGGAGGCGGAGAGCTCTTTTTGCTCCTTGTCGTTGCGGGCGAAGAAGAGGTGCTTCTTGTACCAGCGCTCGCGTTCGGTGGTGTCAAGCGGCGGAAGGAAGTCGACGCCGTTGAACTGACCGATCTGGTCGAGGATGAAGTGCAACCATAGGCCGGTCTCGCCGACGGCGCACAACTCCGCTTCCAGGTGTCGCGCCGCGTAGCTCTGCTGAAGACGGGCATCCTTGGAAGTCTTCGAGTTCCGCGCGGTGATCACCATGACGACCGGCTGGTTCTCCGGGTTCACCGACGAAGTGCTAGCTATTCGGTACAAGAAGATGTTGGGGAGCGTGATCTCGCGGATGCTGGCGCCTCGCAGGAGAGTGTGGTGGGAGAGTAGCGTGAGCGCCTTGGTGAGCAGAAATCGCCACAGCGTCTGCGAAGGAGCGGTTGCCCGCGGGTTCCACGCCGACGCCGCCCATGTCGGCAGCACCTTCATCATGATCTGGCGGAACTGTTCGGTGGTGTAGGTATCGCCGATGGTGCCGCGACGCCGGTCGGCACAATTCCTGCCCACAAAGCCACCGAGTATTTTGAGTTTGACGGCGTCGACTTCATAGTGACGTGGACAGAGGTTGGCAGTGTCGACAAACTTACTTGACGTCCCTCTCGTTCTTGGTGCGGACCATGAACCGCACCTCCGATCTGACCACCGATATCTCCCGCATGATGCTCAGCTCCTTCTCCCGGTAGAGCGTCGCCTCCACTCTCGCCGCCATCTGGCATGCCTTTATGCGCCCGAGGAGCGTGTGCACCGTTGTACCTTGCACCGGATGGGTTCGCGGGGCATTGTTCCCCTCCTCGATCGACTCGGCATCGAGCTGACACTCACGTATCATGAACTTCACATAGGCGCGCAGCCGGGTTTCGGTTACCCTAGGACCGTGCAGCCAGATGTACTCTCGGGGGACCTCGGCCACTTTGTCCCAATTCTTCTTCTTGTTGTCCCGGATGTAGTGGCCGATCTCGTCGACGTGCCTAAGCCTGTGCTCCTGGGGAAGCTTGTCGCGTATTTGCGTCAGCATTTTCGCCGCCCACCTCTTGTAGTGGTAGATGAACGAGGTGTACAGCCTCAGCGTGCTATTCTTCTCCAAGGTTTGCAGGTGGCGTAGGGCGTCTATGACCAGCACGTCGATGCTTGCGTAAACCATGTCGTCCTCGACGAAGTCTGCTGCTCTCCACTGTTCGCGTGGCACCGCCATGTTCTGCTCGTCCTCGTCCTCGTCCTGTTCTAGCATGTCATCTATGTATTCAAGTTCCCGCCGGAGGCGTTCTTCCAAGGTGCGCGGATTCGTGCTACGCGGAGGACGCTCGTCGTATTCGTCGTCGCTCTCCTCCTCCTCGTCCTCCTCCTCCTCCTCATCAACCTGGTTTCCTGAGCCGCCCGGTACCGACGAAGGTCCAGGCTGCCCATCTTGCGTCGGTGTGGACTTACTAGCTGGCTTGGTAAACTCTCCTATCTCCTATCGGGGGAATGTCCTTGGTGAACTCCCCTTCTGGAATCTGTGTCAGTGCGTCAAGATCGTAGAGTAGCTTGAGCGCCTCTTCGGGGGTAGAGGTCTCAATGTGGTCGGTTGGGGGACCAACGTCGGGCATGTCGACGTCTGCCATGAGGCCGCTCGTAGTTTGCTATACCGTCGACCGTGTTCGAGGTAAGGGATGGACCACCAGAGACGGTACTGAGTCGCGGGTGCAGTGTACACCCGATGAGTTGCTCAGGCGTCTTCGTCGGATTCTCTCTCAAGTGCTTCTAACTCGGCGGCGAGCTCGAGGCGTTCTAGCTGTGCTTTGATGTCGGCGTCTACAGAGTCGGCAGGGGGTGGGATGGGTTGCGGCTGTTGGGCTCTAGGCCGTGCTCTGGCCATGCGTCGCCGACCTAGTTAGTTGTGATCGGTTACCTAAACACGCTACCGGTGCCGACGTGATCGATTGGTCGGCGCACGAGTAACCCACACTCGCGAAGATAGCTAGGGAGAGGAAAATTCAAGTGCAAGAGGGAGCAGGAAGGAACGCAGGAACGCACAATGGAATGAGCACCAGCGCAAGGTCACGGAGGGGTATGGTCGTGAGCGACTCCCGATTTTGCCGCGCTTCACGCAACCCCCTATGCTTGTGCCGCTATGCATGTGTTCTCGTGCGGCGGCGCAGTGTCCGACGTGCCACGAGCCATGCATGGCTAATGGGTCGCCGCGCTGCACTCACGGGGCGTAAGCCTGGGCACGTCCACGGTGGTATGTGCGTGCGTTACGTGGCGTGGGCCCATCATTGGTGCCTCTACGCAGAAACGCCGACATGCCGACTTCCATGGCCTAAGGGCACGGAGTTATTGAAGAGCCGCGTGGCAAGCCCACCGTGAGCCCTCGTGGTCGACGCCGACTTTCGTGGTCCGGACAATCCCGTTGGATCCTTAGTCGACACCGACATGGCGAGCAGCTCGCGATGCCAGACAACTGTAACATTTTTTGACGGACAGATCTTCGCCGCGTGGATCGGCCACCGACAAATTTGGGCGCGCAGTGGAGTTCCCGCGCTGAAATCGCGGCTCGACGTGTCGTGCTGTGAGTTTTTGTCCGCTGAGATGTCCTTCTCGGGTTTCTCTCAGCGAAACCCGAGGTCGTCAGATCGTCGACAATCCCGAAGGCCCAGAGGTCTGCCATGTCGCCCCAGTTTGCCACTCGGAGTCGTCGGGAGTTCGTCAATCCCGAGGAGGGCCGTTGTCCTATCGCAACCGCGAAATTGGGCGGCAGTTTTCGTCGGCTGAGGTATATCCTCCCCAAACACCTAAGGGCAAGGTGTTTAGGGTTGATGCCTCCCGAACCGCGTCCCATCCGATTGGGTTTTAGTTTTTTTGCCCGTGGGCAGCTCGCTCCCGCGAGCGGGCAGAACGATCTCGGATTCACCCGTGTTTTTCCAACCTTGCGCGTATGAACCTTTGAGTTGAAACGGGCCTATCTGAACTGCAACCGTACTGAAGCTCTCTGTGTGTTCCTCCTCTGTGTTCCTCAAAACGTCGTGTAACGGATTTAACCCCCGGAATTTGAGCGTTCGAACTGTCATTTTTCCGCTCGATGTGGCGCGCTCCAAGGACCAATTATTCGCGTCCGACACAGCAGAAATTAGGGCACGACACGGGAATTCCACAGCGTGGGAAAGCCCTGCTATTCCTGAAATTTCTAATCAGTCGGAATCGCCAAATCTGGTCGTATTCCTATCCCAGTGCAAGTGTCCCGCGCGCGAAAGGCGAGCATCGGTAACAGTGGGGCGCCAGGACAAGTCCAGTCCAGTCCCTCTCCAGTCCTGGTTCAGGCACCCGAATCGAAGCGTTCCTGCATTAGTTCGGTGAACGGCAATACCGGCGGTCTTCTAGGCGCAGCAGTGCCGCAATGCAGGCGAAGGGAGGCGGCGCGGCGGGGATGGCGGCCTCCGCGCAGGTTGCGCCTGCGACGGGGCCCGCCGCAACCGCTGGCGGCGGTGGTGCGGCGGGAACCGTAGGCGGAGGCAAAGCGAAGGGGACGAAACGTAAGGAGTGGGGCGTGGGTGAGAGGGATTGGGTGTGGGTGAGAGTGCGGTGAGTGCGAAGCAGTGTGAGTGAGAGGGCATGCGGCGGTGGGTAAAGGAACAGCGCCATGCGTCGTGTGGCATGTCTCCTTCTCGTGCAGGCTCGTGGGCACGAATGCATGTATGGCGAACTCTGTGTGCGCGTGGGGCGCGTGTGCATTCCAGCATCCAGTCGCCAAGACAAGACGCCTCACACACACCTCTCGCCTCAACCCCTTCACATCTCCGTTCATTCCCGGTGCCATCCCCCCCGCCAGAACCAGCCACTGCACACAAACCCTGCCACTTTCACTCCTCTCCAACCACTTCATCCCCTCCTCTCATTCCCGCACACTTCCCCCCTCTTTCCCCAACCCTTGCCCTTCTGCCCGCCCTCACCCGCCCAGGCGGGGCGGCAGCGATGCCAAAGAAGATGGTGAAAGCAGATGTCCTTTCACCCCCTCCTCCTCTCATTCTCGCACTGCACACCCTTCTCTCCCCCCCTTCTCTCCCCCCCTTCTCTCCCCCCCTTCTCTCCCCCCTTCTCTCCCCCCCTTCTCTCCCCCCCTTCTCTCCCCCCCTTCCTCCCCCCCCTCCCCATTCCCTCCCTTCTGTCCCCCTCTGCCGCCCCCAGCCGCAGCGGCATCAAGGCCAAGAAGATGTCCGCCGCTTTACCCGCCCTCACACCCCAGGTGAAGCAGCAGGCGGGGCGCCAGCGGCGAGGCCCTAGAAGATTTCAAAAGCAGATGTGTTTTCACCCCCTCCTCTCATCCTCGCACCTCCCAAACCCTGTCCCCCCTTCCCACCGCCCCTCCTTCCCTTGTTCCCCCACCAGGCGGAGCAGCAGGCGGGGCGGCAGCAGCGCGGCCCAAGAAGATGTCCAAAGCAGCCGCAGCCGCTGCTGCTGCAGCGGCTCAGAGGCAGGCGGCAGGTGGGCGGCAGTGAGGGGTGGCAGGTGGGCGGCAGTGAGGGGTAGCAGGTGGGCGGCACTGAGGGGTGGCAGGTGGGTGGCGTGGCAGTGAGGGTGGCAGGTGGGCGGCCGTGAAGGATAGATATTTTTCCTTTTAAAGCGAACGAAGTGAGCAACGAGAGTGGGGAGGTGGGAGGTGGAAGGTGCGAGGGGGGAGGTGGGGGGTGGAAGGTGCGAGGGGGGAGGTGGGGGGTGGGGGGCGCGAGGGGGGAGGTGGGGGGTGGGGGGCGCTAGGTGCGCAGCAGCCCCTTCCCATCTGCCTGTTATGCAAGTACGATGCAGGCTGACTCGAGGATCGCATGCACAGCCCTCGCTTGCCTCTCTCCCTCCTTTCTCTTTTTCCTCTGTGCCCTGCATGCTTCTGTGTCTGCTCTAACAGAAGCAAAGGCAGCAGCAGCTGGAGATGCTACGGCAATTCCTATTCCTCAGCAACAGCAGTCACAGCAGCAGCAGCAGCAGCTAGTGAAGCAGCAACTGCAGCAAGAGCAGCTGCAGCAACAACAACAGCAGCAACAGCAGCAGCAGCAGCAGCAGCAGCACCACCAACCACTGCAGCAGCAGCAGCAACAGAAGCAACAGCAACGACAGCAGGGGAAGGAGGGGTCGGGTGGAGCAGAGGCGGAGCGGGGGCGGGCTGCAGTAGGGGGTGGCGAGCGCAAGGACAAGAAGGCAGCAGCCAAGCAAGGGGCGCATGCAGGGGGTGCCGCTGCAGGGGGGAAAGTGGGGTGAGTTCATTTTCTTGACTGCTCGCTCTGCTGGATTGTTTCAGCTCGTTAATTTTATCTCTTTGATGTTCTGTTCTGTAGGTGCGGATCTGTGCAAGTTTCTTTGGCCTTGTCTTTTCTTATCTTTCCTTTTCTTTTTCGAACGATGCGGTAACGGCGTCCGTTTTGCTTCCATTCAGCTTGCCGCCTCTCTCCTAGCCCTCTTCCCTGTCCTCTCTCCCCGTTCCCTCTCCCTCTCCCTGTCTCACCTCTCCCTCTCCCCGTATTCCCTCTCCCTCTCCCCGTATCCCCTCTCCATCTGTGCTGCAGGGGTGCGTCTGACACCCCGCCTGCCACGGGACCAGCACACGCTGCCAAGCCAGTCACTGCACCAGCAGCAGGCATGCCATCTACTCACACACCCACCCACCCACCCACCTCTCCCACCTCTCCTCCCTCCTTCCCACGCACAGCCACGGCTCTGCCTCTTCTACTTTTTTTGCTAGACAACAGCCTTTATTACCCTCGCATTCTCTTTGCGACCCTCTCGTTTTCCGCCTTCAGTCTGAACCAGCTTAACCATATCTTGACATGCCATGCATTCACACACCGCCGTTTTCAAATCCTCCACTCACTCTTTTCTGCCATGCCACATGCCACATGCCACATGCCACGCATGGCATCACCCCACGGCCATCTCACCTCGCACGGCCAGCAGGCAAGCCAGCGGCGCCGAAGAAGAAGGCGAGTGTCTGCCATCACATCACCCCATACCCACAGCGATCTCACCTCTCACCCCTTGCGGCCATCTTGAATCTCACCTCCCCCCCAAGCAGGCAAGGCAGCGGCGCCAAAGAAGAAAGCGAGTGCGTCGCGGCGCAGCACATTTGATTTCATCCTCAAACAGTCCAAGCCTCTGCGCAAGGACCAGCAGCCGCCAGGTGTGTTGCTTAGGGGCGCAAGGACCAGCAGTCGCCAGGTGTGTTGCTCAGGGGCGCAAGGACCAGCAGCCGCCAGGTGTGTTGCTTAGGGGCGCAAGGACCAGCAGTCGCCAGGTGTGTTGCTCAGGGGCGCAAGGACCAGCAGCCGCCAGGTGTGTTGCTTAGGGGCGCAAGGATCAGCACCCGCGGCGCACTGGGGTGGGGGATAGAACTTTTGGTAGCACTCGTAATAGCACCTGGGGGGGACAGCCCCCAGGCGCACCACCAGTCCAAGCCACTGAGGAAGGACCAGCAGCCCCCAGGTGCGCACGTGTCATGCGAGGGATAGCAACGCCCAGGTGGGGATAGCAACGCCCAGGTGGGGATAGCAGCGCCCATGTGGGGATAGCAGCGCCCATGTGGGGATAGCAGCGCCCATGTGGGGATAGCAGCGCCCATGTGGGGATAGCAGCGCCCATGTGGGGATAGCAGCGCCCAGGTGGGGTTATCAGCGCGCATGTGGGGTTAGCAGCGCCCATGTGGGGTTAGCAGCGCCCATGTGGGGTTAGCAGCGCACATGTGGGGTTAGCAGCGCCCATGTGGGGTTAGCAGCGCCCATGTGGGGTTAGCAGCGCCCATGTGGGGTTAGCAGCGCCCATGTGGGGTTAGCAGCGCCCATGTGGGGTTAGCAGCGCCCATGTGGGGATAGCAGCGCCCATGTGGGGTTAGCAGCGCCCATGTGGGGATAGCAGCGCCCATGTGGGGATAGCAGCGCCCATGTGGGGTTAGCAGCGCCCATGTGGGGATAGCAGCGCCCATGTGGGGATAGCAGCACCCATGTGGGGATAGCAGCGCCCATGTGGGGATAGCAGCGCCCATGTGGGGATAGCAGCGCCCAGGTGGGGATATCAGCGCGCATGTGGGGTTAGCAGCGCCCATGTGGGGTTAGCAGCGCCCATGTGGGGTTAGCAGCGCCCATGTGGGGTTAGCAGCGCCCATGTGGGGATAGCAGCGCCCAGGTGGGGATATCAGCGCGCATGTGGGGTTAGCAGCGCCCATGTGGGGTTAGCAGCGCCCATGTGGGAGACGTCTCAAAAATCTACTTTCTACACGTGGCCATGCCTTGTCACGTGTAGAAAGTGCATTTTTGAGACGTCTCGTGTAGAAAGTAGATTTTTGAGACGTCTCAACATTTTTTGAGACGTCTCGTGTAGAAAGTAGATTTTTGAGACGTCTCAACATTTTTTGAGACGTCTCAAAAATCTACTTTCTACACGAGGCGAGGCTGAGGGGCGTGCTGGGGGCGCTTCACACTCATCCCCCTTCCCCCATTCTCCTCCCCCTTTCCCCCTTACAGCCCCCGCCCCACTACCGCTAGCGACAGGCATGCAGCATGCGCGGCACGAGGCGAGGCTGAGGGGCGTGCTGGGGGCGCTCTTCTGGGAGGCCAGCTCACGGGCTATCACCAACCAGAGCACCCCCTCCCCCTCCCCCGCCGCCCTCCCCCTCGCCTCCCACCCCACGCCCTCGCCCTCCTCCCTCCACCCTACACCCAATTCCGCTGCCCCGACCCTCCCTGCCTCCTCCCTCTCCTCCTTCCCTGCCACCACTGCTGCTGCCCATTCCAGTCTCGCCTCTCAGCCGTCGGCTCTGTCGCACAGTGCCGCGCCCCTGGGCCCCTCCTCCTCCTCCCCCCTCGACCCCCTCTCACTGCATAAGTTCGCCGAGCTTCCAGGTTTTCAGACCTTGCAGGGAGGCTCGGCAGCAACTGGTTTGGCAGGAGGGGGAGGGGGAGGGGGAGGGGGAGGGGGGGGAAGTGGGGCCGGGAGGATGAGGGGAATGGCAGGGGGAGGCATGGGTGGGGGTTCTGGGGGAGGAGGGGAAGGGGAAGGGGGTGTGGGGGGAGCAGCAGGGGCGGGTATGGGCGGGATGGGCGGATTTGGGGGTGCGTTCAACGCGAGTGGAGTTGGGGTGAAGTCAGGAGCGGCAGGAGGCAGGGTGTTGGGTGGGATGGGGGCAACAGCAGGCATTGGAGGCATGGGAGGGAATCTGGCCAGTCTGGGCATGAATATGGGTATGGGTATAGGTATGGGTATGAATATGGGCATGGGCATGGGAGCTGGCAGTCGTATGGATACTTCATTCTCTTCTCCCCCTGCCTCTGCATCGAATCCTCTCTCCCAATTTTCTTCCCCTTCTGCTGCGCTGCCTGCTGCTATGGCTGCAACAGCCACTGCTATGGGTGTGGGTATGGGAGCAGGGATGGGTGCAGGCATGTCTTTTGAGTCGACTCAAAAGGGCATGGGTGCGGGCATGGGTTCAAATATGGGTGCTGGCATGGGTTCAGATATGGGTGCTGGCATGGGTTCAAATATGGGTGCTGGCATGGGTTCAAATATGGGTGCTGGCATGGGAGCAGGCATGGGTAGTGGTGTGGCCGGTGCAGGTGGTGCGGGTGGTGGTGGTAGTGGTGGTGGCATGTCGTCTTGGCAGGCACAGCAGCATGGGCAAGGGCAGCTGCAGGGGCTGCGACAGGGACAGCAAGGGCAGGGGCAGCAAGGGCAGTTGCAGGGGCAGTTGCAAGGGCAGGGGCAGCAAGGGCAGGTGCAAGGGCAGGGACACGGACATGGGCAGTTGACAGGGCAGGGACAAGAGCAAGGGGGACAGGAGTTTCAGGGGCAGGCAGCGCAAGGCACAGTGCAGCAGGGGGTGGTGGGGGAAGGGAACTTGCAAGGACGATCGACGATGCAGGGCGGTACGAGCGTGCAATCGGGGGTGCAAGGGGGAGTGCAAGGGGGAGTGCAAGGGGGAGTGCAAGGGGGAGTGGGGCAGAAGGAGCCATGCAACAGCAAAGGCGCTATTGGTGCTATTGGTGCCAGCACTGCTGCTGCTGCCACCTCCTCTCCCGCCCCTGCTGTTCCTACTTCTGCTCCTCAGGTGCGAAAAGAGGGAGCTGACGATGCTAAGAGCTTGAATCACCTCTCAAAGAGTACTTTCTGGCTGTGGTATGCTTTCACTTCACATCATCAAGTATTTCATGCCATTTCAAATCATGTCTCTCTCTGCTGTTACTTTTCATCCAATTCCTCAGAAACCCAAGTCTCGGCCAAAAAAGGCATCAGCTGCAGCGGCGGCGGCGGCGGCAGCGGCAGCGGCAGCGGCAGCGGCAGCAGGAGCAGGAGGAGCAGGAGGAGCAGCGGAAGGAGGTGCGGCTCCGAAGTCCAAGCCCAAGTCAAAGCCAAAGGTCTCTGCCAAAGCCAGAGCCGCCGCTGCCGCCGCCGCTGCCGCCGCTGCTGCTGCAAACGCCCCTTCTGCTGGTGGGGCAGCTCCGGGTGGCTCCGCTGCTGCTTCTGCTGGGGCTGACGGCGAGGGCGCTGCTGCTGCTGCCGCTACTGCTACTGCGAGCGGTGCTACAGCAGGGAGTGCGAGGAGCAGTGCAGGTGGCAGTGAGGGTGAGGTGGCAGGGAAGGCGATGAAGGGCCTTCCAAGCCCTCGAGGCGGGGGCGAGAAGCAGAGCAGCCTGCGAGACGGGGTTCAGGGGCAGCAGCAGGCAGTGCACTCGCCTCAGCAGCTGGCCCAGCTGGCTGCGCACCTGCAGTCCCAGCTGGGGGGTCAACCAGGTGGGGGAAATGGGGGCCCTCAGGGCAGTCAGCTTGGTGGGCAGAATCAAGTTGGACAGAAGATGCAGCAGCAGCAAATGCAGCAGCAGCAAATGCGGCAGCATCAGCAGCACTTGCAGAGGCAGCAGGGCATGCGGCAAGGTCAGGCGCAAGGGCAGCAGCAGCAGATGCACATGCAGCAGCAGCAGCAGCAGCAGCAGCAGCAGCAGCAGCAGCAGCAGCAGATGCAGCAAATGCAGGGGCTTTCCTCCCCTCCTCACAGCAGCCCGCCAGCACCGATGAATCAAAGGCACATGTTCCAGCCGCCTCACCAGCCGCCGCAACAGCTGCAGCAACAGCAAGGAGGGGGAAGGGCGATGGGGGGAGCAGGCGGGGCGGGGGGGCAGCTGCAGGCGCCTGGAGAGATGCTTGTGCAGCAGCAGCGGCAGCAGCTGGCAGGGCCCATGGGGCAGGAGGGGCAGGGGATAGACCGAGGCACAGGGCAGCAGGGGCAGGGGCAGGGACAGGGTGTTGCAGGAATGGGGGGAATGGGAGGGATGGGTATGGGTATGGGTAGCATGGGAGGAATGGGAGGGATGGGGGGCATGGGGGCGATGGGGGGGGCGATGCAGGGAATGGGGGCAGGCAATGCTGGTGCGGGGAGGGCGGGCTCCTTCCAAGGTGAGCCCACGACTCACTCGCTTGGTTCCATCCGTTTTGATTGCTCTTCCTCGCATGCATCCGCAGAATGGTCTGCCTTAAAAGCTCCCAACACTTGCACTCATCCTCCTCACAATCACTCTTCACTTTCTGCTCTCTAATTATTATTTCCTTCCTCTGCTCTTTGCTCTCTGCTCTCTGCCCTCTGCTCTCTGCTCTCTGCCCTCTGCTCACTGCTCTCTACCCTCTGCTCTCTGCCCTCTGCTCACTTCTCTCTACCCTCTGCTCTCTGCCCTCTGCTCACTGCCCTCTGTCCTCTGCTCTCTACTCTCTGCTCACTACTCTCTGCTCTGCTCTTTCACTAATTGCTCTGATCCCTCTTCCACCCAATGGCAGGCCAAGTCTCGATGGCATCGTCTCAAATGCCCACCCACATGAGAGGCTTGCCAGCACAGACCATGCAGCAGCAGCCGCAGTACAGTCAGCAGCATCAGGATCAGCAGCAGCTGCAGCAGCAGTGGGCTTCTTGTCAGCCAGGGGGTGCGGGACGGGCAGGTGGAGCCGGGGGGATGCAGCAGCAGCAGCAACAGCAGCAGCAGCAGCAGCAACAGGCGGGACAAGGGCAAGGGCAAGGGCAAGCGCAAGCAGCAGGGCGGAGTGGATCAGGAGGGGCAGGCATGGATGAGCCCTTCCCTACAGATCACCCCCAACAGCGCATGGGCATGCAGCAGCATGCCCCCTTCCATGCCTCCACCCACATGACCCCTGCTGCTGCTTCCGGTCAAGGCATGGGCATGGGCATGGGCATGGGAGGAGCAGCGGGCATGGGCATGGGGGGAGGGTCGTCACTGCTGGCAGGGATTCCCGACTCATCCCTCGTGTCGTCCTTTGGGGGCATGGGAGGGGCAGGGGGAGGGACGAGGGGCATGGAGGGCATGGGAGCGATGGGGGGAGCGGGAGGGGGCATGGGGGGCGGTGATGGGGCTGGAGGGGCAGGTGGGCGTGGTGGTGGTGCTGGCGGTGGTGCTGCAGGAATGGATGAGGCAGCCATGTTTGCAGGAGAGGATGATTATGGGGATTTGCCTTGACTGATAGTCATTGGTGGATTACGTTGCTGCCCCTAAAATCGATTGAAACATGCCCTCATTAGGTACATACGATATCCATATCCAAAAGAATGGAGTGCAATTTTATCTTTGATATTCAAATATAATTGGTGTTTTTTTTTTAAGGAAAAAAACGATCTACTTTTTCCTTTGTAATGCAAGTCGTTTTGAATTCTTGAGAGTAAAATGATGGATAATGTAAGAATAATTTATATGTGTATTATATATGAAGCTTTAGAGATGGGTGCGGATCTTTATAACTGGAATTAGAGTGAAGTTTGAGCACATGGAGGTTGGTACTGTATGAATGAGTACTGTCAATATTCCCACCACCCGGTGCTTCGCGCCTACTGTGCCGTCTCGTGCGCCTGAAAATCATTGTCTAAGGCTTGTTTCGTCACGATTATCCTCGCGAATCATTGTACGACTCGGTATCCCCCGTTTTCCATTTCGTGCGCGAAGTCTACCAGCAATCGCGAAATCCCTGACCGAAGTCGCTTGCCAGCCCCCCCACCCAAACCGCAATTATTCGCAACAACCTTCATCCAACACCCTGCGCAGCCAACTCCTCAAAACTTGTGCGACTCGGCTTGCAAACCGAAAACCAATCTAGCCCAGTCACATGCCCGTGACTCACGGTGCCATTTCCTGGCACATGTAAAAAGGAGCGACCACTCAGTTCATCTCACCATTAGTTCCAAGTATCTTTATTCGCCAACTTTCCTAAGCTGTTTAATTACACCAGCTCCACCGCTTTGACCTCGGCGATACACACAGGAGCAAGAATGGCTCCCCTCGCCCACATCACAAAGCTCCCGGATTTTTTGTGTTGTGTGCGGAGGGGTTCGGGTCCAGATTTCAGGCACAAACACACTCAATCCCCTGACTGAAATTTCAGGCTTTGAAATTCGACCGCGCTTCGCCTGTGAAATTTCGCGGGAGCAAATCAGGTAGTTTTCAGCGAGAATCCTGCCTGTTCATTTGTTCCGACCGCGACTCGAACTGAAATTTCTCAATTTCGCGCCTCGTGTCCCATTCTTTTGTTGCATTTTGTTCTTCTCAGACTTGATTCGACTCCGTATAAATATAGTTTTGGGCTTGGGTGTATCTTTTGTAAATTTTCTTATATCAACTAACATGTTAATAGATACTAAGACCAGAAGTACTTACTGTCAGAGAATTGAACGAGAATGAATGCATTGAGCAGAAGTTGGGTACAAGTACTAACCCTAATTGGGTTGTACCCCTTATGGGCTACCCCACTATGGCCTACACAAATATAAGCACTATAACATTCTGACACACCCCCATAGGCAAAGTGGAGGAGAACAAGTGGTCACGAGACCAGTCAAGAAAAGCAAAGCAAGCTCAGGGTGGATCACAAAGACACCACACAGTCCGAGCACAAGCAAAGGGCCACAAGGCCAGTTCACATGCAAAGTTATATATAGAGCACAAACAATACAGTGATCATAGCCTAGCAAGAGTAAGCATGCAGGTATATATATAGACCACAGTACACGTCACGCAGTGAGTAAGTGAGGCAAAGTAGGCACAATGCCTAAAACAGTAGAGAAGTGCTAATGATAACCAGAGTGAAGTGCCTTGGTGAATATATCACCAGTGTCGGCCCTAGTGGCCACGTACGCAAGACGAAGCGGACCACGCTGCTGCACCTCTCGAGCAAGGAAGTATCGCAGAGCGATGTGCTTCGTCCTGTGCTCCAATCTGTGGTCCTAACACAAGGCAATCATGGCCTTGTTGTCTACGTACAGAACTGGAGGCGAACGAGGCTGCTCTCCCAAGTCAGTCAGCAGGTGGGTGAGCCAGCGTAACTCCTGTGCAGCCATGGCCCCGGCATAGATCTCAGCCTCACAACTGGAACTGGAACGGAAGACGAGCGGGTAGACCGCCAGGAAACAGAGCCGGAACCGAGGCTGAAGGTGTAACACCGTGACGACCACTGCATAGCCAAGTCGTTAACCCAAGAAGCTTCTGCGTGACCAGCGAGGACAACTGGACCCCATCCTCCAAGCACGAGCCCCATGCTCGATGTACTGCATAAGTAACGCAGTACCCTCTTTGCAGCATCCCACTGCACCTTTCGGTGCCTACCGGGAGCCACGTAGCGAGCCAGGACGCTGAGAGGGTACGCGAGGTCAGGTCGTGTGCACGTCATCAACCCAAAAGCTCTGGGTATGGACCACTTGGCTCTACGGACTCGTCCGAAGGTGGAGCTGAGAGCGAGTAGCTGGTAGACAGAGAAGTGGGATGTGGCAAGGAGAACTGGAAGCCGAAGCGCTGAAGGACATGGTGCACCATGTGTGACTGAGTCAGGGTGATGGTGCGCCGTGCTCTGTCCCGGGTGATCTGCAAGCCAAGATAGCTGCGCAATTCACCCAAGCCCGTGCATGTGTGTCTCTTCTACAGTTCCGACTTTCCAAGGGTCATTGCCTCAGTGTAAGCAGTGGCACTGACCAGGTCGTCGACGTAGACGAGGACGTAGAAAGGCGGCAGCGACGTGTCGGTGCGTAGAAACAACGACGGGTCAGCAGTCGAAGGAGTAAACCCCAGAGCCGCAAGTGTAGTCCTCAGTGTGTCGTACCACTCGCGAGGCGCTTGGCGTAGACCGTAGACTGGCCGCCGGAGGCTCCACTGGGTACCTGCAGGAAAGGACCCAGTGAAGCCAGGTGGGCGGCGCAGCCAGATCTCCTCGTGCAGGCTGCCCTGCAAGAAAGCTATACTAAAGTCCAGAAATTGCAACTCGTAGTCACGCTGAGCAGCGACGTGCAGCAACACCTGAAGAGTGGTCATCTTCGGGGTGGGAGAGAAGGTCTGGAAGTAGTCGACCCCCTGTCGCTGAGTGAAGCCTTGAGCAACGTATATGCCTTGAAGGCAGGCGGAGAACCCGGCGGCCGCTTCACCCTGAAAATCCACATGCCGTTGACTATGTTCGCCCTAGACGGGGGAACTGCGTCGACGTAGGTGCCTGTGGACTTCCAAGATGCCATCTCGGCATCCATGGCTACTTGCCACTGAGAGGAGTAAGGACCCATAATTGCCTCCACGTAAGAGCGCGGGGTTGGGATGTCTGGTGCATCCGGGTCTCCCTCAGGGGCAAGTAGCATGGAAGCAAAACGAGGTACAGCAGCTGCAACACACTCAAGGTCCTTCTGCCTATCCTCAGGGACGTCCGTGCCAAGAGCACACTCACCCCCGATGGACGGAGGACTGGCGGACTCAGACTCAGCAACAAGAGCAGTGGCGTAGTCTAGACGACAGGCAGCAGCAAAGTCAACTAGCTCAGCAACGAGGGCAGACACAGCAGTGGACTCAAAAGAAGGGTTAGTGACAACAGTGGCCAGGAGACAAGAGACAGTGGGACCGGCAGCATGAGGAAGGTCAGACTCAGGGTTCGGATGGCAGGAAGAGAGGACTTAGGAGGAGGCGGCAGAGGAACACGCAGTGGAACAAAGGAAGGACGAAGTGCCATAGCGTGAGTGCTGGGGACAGGAGGAGGACGCGGACGAGGAACCCTACGACCAGTGCGAACAGCGCGAACAGGCAAAGCAAGACAAGACTCAAGCTCACGACGCTCTGTGAGACCTCCAGTCTGCTCAGTGTAAGGAGAAGGAGCAGGCAGTGGGGAGGCTAGCTGTAACGGCAGCTGTGACTGGTCAGGCGGTGGACGCAGTAAGTGAGGAGTAAGGCCAGTAGAAGATGGGAGACCAAGAACCTGCTGAAGGAGGGGAACGGAGTACGGTCGCGGCCGCACAGTGCCTCCAGCACCCGTACCGCCAGACACAGCACCTCCAGCTCAGCACCTCCAGCTCAGCACCTCCAGCTCCAGGGTCAACAGTCCCAGTGTCTCCAGCTCCAGCTCCTCCAACGCCAACGCCACCATCGCCAGTGCCTCTAGCTTTAGCGCCAACAGCTTTACTGGCAGCATCTCCAGCTCCTCCAGCTCCAGCGCCACCAGCTCCAGTGTGTCCAGGCTCCGAAGGGTCTCCAGCTCCAGCCCCTCCAGCTCCAACGCCCCCAACACTACCAGTCCCGGCAGCTCCAGTACCCCTGGTACGAGCACCTCCAGGACCAGCAGCCGCAGCACCTCCGGTACCACCAACTCGAGCAATAACTCCAACACCTCCAGCTCCAGTGTCACCAGTGGCAGAGACTCCAGCTCCGGCAACTCCACTCCGAAGGCGGGTGCGCTGAGCAAACCACTCGCGCAACTGCTGCGGGGAGAGAGGCTGCGGCCGGGGAGACATTCGTGGCGAAGCACCCACAAGACCTCTAGAAGAAGCACTACCCCGAGGCTTAGCACTCCCAGACTCCGCACCCTCAGACTTAGCACCCCCAAGCTCCACACCCTCAGGCTCAGCACCCCCAAGCTCCACACCTGCAGGCTCAGCACCCCCAGGCTCCGCACCCCCAGACTCAGCACCCCCAGGCTCAGCACCCCCAGACCCGGCACCCTCTGACTCAGCACCCCCAAGCTCCGCACCCTCAGACGCAGCACCTCAACAGGCACAGTACCAGGGAGAGGGTCTACCTGAGACACACCTGAGGGAGCAAGACCCTGGGGGGGGAGGGGGTCTACCGGAGGTGGACTTGGAGCAAGGAAGAGTGGCGGGGTTGGGGGAGGGGCAGAGCAGTAGGGGAAGAGACGGTAAAAGGGAACCGACTCGTCAAACGTGACGTCCTGAGTGGGGATGACACGGCGCGAGGTGGGGTGGTAAAACTACTAGCCAGGCACGTCAGAGGAAATCCAGGGAAGACGCAGGGAATAGCGCGAGCGGAGAGCGTGTCCGCGGACGTATCGCAAACAAAGGCACGAGAGCCCTAGACCCGGAACATCGACGCATCGCCAACCTCCCCTGTCCAACATAGTGTCGGCGAGGTCTCCGGCAAGGAGACGCGAGGCCAGAGGTTGAGCTGATGCGCAGCGTACCAGACTGCAAACGGCCAGAGAAAATGGGGAG